CTTTGGGATCAACAATTGTGTTAAGGAAGATAAAGGTAGACAACTATTTGTGCATACATGCATAATTCTTTGGAAGCAGACATGTTTCTATGTAGGAAGAGTTTTATGGTCTTCTACCTTAGATGTCGGGGGTATTATGGTGGGAAACCTATAATGTAGGATGGAAGGTGACCATATACAGTTGTGACATCTTGACTGACTTTTGATACATGTGCCCATTGTGTGGGAGCCATGTATTGTGTTCTTATGCTTCTAGACTGCTTAGATATCAAGCACCTTGTGTGATGATAAATATTGGTACCACATGCTTATAGAATTAAAAGCACAAGTCTACATAAGTCCTTGAGAAATGGATGTGTATGATTTTGAGTTTGATGTGCTAAATGAAGTTCTTTGAGGTTGAGATATGAATGCTTGAGTGGATAGGAGTTGTGATTGTGTTAAGTGTTAGAATACTATCTATATGTCTTGTATATTCTTATACATGTGTGAGAAATATTCTTACTCCTCTTGTTTTTGTTGTTTCTTTCATGTTTGTGCTGAATTCCATTTGTAAGAGCTAATCATGTAGATGAGTTCAAACACGAGGGAGGCAAAACTTGGGCTTCAATTTTGCTTTGATTAGTGTGATAATGAGGCTAGTGAATAGTTATGTTTTATTTTTGTTTCTGAGAATCTATAGTTTTATTTAGCACGCTTAGACTTTTTTTCTTTGGAGAATTTGTAAACTTTGATTTATGCCCGTTTTAGCAAAGTTATTCTTGTTTCAAATTCTTTTAATATGATTAGAGTTTTATATAGTGGATTTTTACATGTGTGAATTGTTTTATCATGCATACAAAAAGTTTTATTCCTTTTGAAAGAACACTATTTTTCAATATTATTATATTAGAACATTTTAGGGTAGAAAGGTGTCATGAAGGTTACCTTCAAAAAACTTGCTCAAGGTAGAAGATATTTCGAACTTAAAGTTTTCATTCTCTTGAATGATTAATCTTTAAAAATATTATTGTATAGTATGTACTTCATTGTAAAATCATGTCTTATAAAAAAGATTATTTTCTCTGTTACTTATCTTCTCAATTAGCTTAAACTTTGTGTTATCTCTTAATTGCTTCAAGAGGCTTTAATGTAATGAATACATAAATTTTCGTGAAGCTTGGAGAGACTTTGTTTCTAAAAACTACTTAGGTAATTCCTTGAAGAGGTTTTGCCAAAAATGTCTTACAAAAAAATTTTGTTTTAACTTTGTGAAGTTAGTGAGACATGATTAGGTTGATCATCAAGTACTAGAGATAATCTAATTGGTGGAGACGAGTTGATATAAAAGTAGGTGTGCTCATTTATTTTTCCTTCTCTCTCTCTCTCCAATATCATGTTAAGTATCTTCATCTTATAACTATCATTTGTTGAAAAAGTTTAAAAAATAAAATATTTTTTAAGGACATAATTCAACATCTTTGCTTTTGTTTTTCTACGTTTCACATGTATGTTGTAACATCCCATTTTTTTAAAGTTAATAATAAATAATAAATTATTATAATAATTAGAGTAAAATATAAGGAATATTTTATTAATAAAGTAAAAAGGAGAGGTGAATTAAGGAGTTTTGGAATGGGCTTTGGCCTAACTCGGAGATTGATTAAAAAGAAGTAAAAAATAAGGGGGGAATTAGATTATCACTTGTTTTCTAAAAAAACCTAGAGCACTGATAGGAGGAAACCTAGAAGAGACCACTAGGAAAGGGGCAGATTAGTGGCCAGAGCATTAGGAGGCATGTTGATCCACAAGATTATCACTCTAGGTAAAGGGGAGTGAGATTATCACATTCATAGGAATATATGAGAGATAAGGATAGAAAGGTGATCTCTAAGCCTCTTAGATTGTTTGTTTGTTTGATTCATATTGATCCATATGAATTTAATTGAAAATTTGTTGCTACTCTATTTTACAAACCATAAATTTACTCTAATTAAATAAGTTTGGTGATGAGCCTATGTATTTCAAAGGTTTGGATATTACATGTATGAATTTGGGTATTTGGGGTTTAATTGGATAAACTTTGATGAATTAATGATTTAGTGATATTAATGGAGTATGATGTTTAATTTTTGGATGGTTATATGAATTATTAGATAATTTTATGATTTGATGCAAAATATAGAAGAAAAGGGTGAGAATCGTGTGCAAATCAATCAAACTCGATGTGATTTCATGGCTTTGGACTAATAAGCATAATTGTGCTTGAAGGAAGCACACCTATGCAAGAATGTGCATGAGGTACCATGGCTATGCTTAAGGAAGCACGTCCGTGCATGACGAAATTGAGGGAACCACAACTATGCTTAATAAACCACAGCCGCACATGCTTGATTTTAGTGAAACACACTTGGGTTTATTTTGTGCATGCCCATGCATCCTTTTAAAATTAGATTTATCTTTTTATGTCTTCATAAAAGTTGTAGCCTTGGATTTTCTCTTTCCAATGGCACTATAATTACTAAAAAAGAAGTTCTAGAACTCAAGTTGGGATCAAATTTGTGAGCAAAGGTCAAACTATCAAAATTATGTTAAAATACTATAGTTTTGTAATTTTTAAAATACTAGATGGTAAAGTCAACTTTTGGTGTCAACATAGAAGTTGTAGATAATGATCTTAGCTATCTAATAAAATTAAGATCAAATTGATAACATAGATACATCTCTAGATAATGTATTTAGACCACACGACCTCATAAAAGCTTAAGATAAAAGAAAGATTTTGTGAGTTGTAATAGTGAGTTATTTTATTCTTTAAGTGCTTAGTCTTGAAACTTTGTGCCTGTAAGTGATATGAAATGTGGATTTTTAACTTGAGAATGATGTGTACAATGCTTGAGATATTGATGAATAATGTTATAATGCTATAATATGTGATGAATGAATAGTATGAGTAATGATGATATATATTGTCATGTTGTGTGATGATGTATAGTGATAATATCATGCATGAAATGAATGATGATGAGATATAATATTGAGATATGATGATACATGTTGTGTGATGATGTATAGTGATAATATCACTTGAGGTAGACTGACAAATGAGGAAGTGAGTTATTGCATATTGTGTGATTGTAATATGATTGTTGAGTCCATGTATTCATGTTTTGTTTGCTGGATAATGCAAGTATATATAGGTGGGATATCATAGGTTATCTACCTATGCCTCGAGAAATGCTATGGTGGGAAAATCTTTACGAGAATGGGATCTCTATTGATAGGTGGTCCCATTCCATGACTCCTAGGCTATTTTGTATTGATGATGATGAGGGGGAGATTTGTACCACATGCATGTAGAGTTAGGAGCATACATTGCACGATTCCTATTTTATTATTGAGTAAATTATATGACTTATTGGTTGTGGGTGTTGGATGAATGTATGGCAATGATTATTGTAGATGTATGGATGGAGGTTTATATGAATATGAGATGTTTTGATATTATAGATGTGTGTGTCTATCATTATGCCTTATATATTCTATGTATGGATGAGATATATCCTTACTCTTTACGTTTGTGTATTATTTGTGTTTGGGTTGATCATGACTTGTAGGAATAGATCAAGTATAAGAAGAGGTATTTGATAAAGGAAAGGCTTAGAGCTTTATTTATTTGGAGATTTTTGTTCTGATTAGTGTGACATCAAGGCAAAGATTTATAGTTTTAGATTTTAATTGAAATTAGTCAAGTTTAATTTAATCATGTTTCATGTTGGAGTTTTTTTCAAATGGGTGGTTTTAAAATTTATATTAATTTTACACATTATTTAGTTGTGTCTCTTTTATTCAATAAAGTTGAAAAGATTTGTAAACCCTTTTACCGAGAAGTGATGTATATGAATCGTATATTATAAATGCTTGAGGTTTTAACATTTATTACAAATTAAATTCTTTAGTTAATTATTTGGGTAAAGGGTGTCACATATGTACCTTCATGCATCATATTTTCAAGTAATTTTTGTAAGATGTTTTATTTGCACTTTCGTTGATAAATTTATAACCTAAGGTTATTCCCTTATGGTTACTTCATGATATATTTATTCACAATCAAGAACCTACAAAGCTATACATTAAAAGCAAGTCAACCATCAACATAAATAGTGCATAAGAAAATATATGAAAATTGAAGCATATAAAAATTGACAAAAACTTTGTCAACTAAAAAATGGAAAATGGGGCATTTTCTCAACACCATGCCTCCACCAAGTAACAAGAAGTAAACATTATGATGAAGGCTTTATTAAAGTTAAATTTTGAGTTTATTATTAAATTTAAATTTTGAGTTTAATTTTAGCAAGTAAGGAATGTCAAGTATTCATTTCTTAGCCTTAGAGAGAATGTTAGATAGGGATCCAAAAATTTTGCAATATAATCTCACCCATAATTTAAAAAATTGTAGTCAAACATTTAGTTTATATAGTAATTACTATTTTTTTAGGGATTCCTAATTAATTGTAGGATTTGTTAATAGTTTGGTTCCATTTTAGATTTTTCTCTACCTATTTATGTATTGCTCAATCATTTGAATAAAATATAAAGAATGGTTTCTTCCTTTTATGATCATTTTTTTTTTATCATTTATGATCAAAAACATAAAAAGGCATTATTATTTATGTTTTACTCAAATAATTAAGTAATTAATATTTTTTTTGAAAATAACTAGATAACATTGAGAATCTATAAAAAAATCGATAATTGGAAATAAAATAATTAATTAGGAATCCCTACAAAATTGTAATTTTGATTAAAAAAAATTTGCAATAAAAAACGATTAGCTATAATCCCATAATTTATAAGATATGATGAAATCCCATATTTGATATAGTTTTTACTATGTTATTTAAACACTTAGATTTTCTAACCCGTCTATTTTTCTCATCTTGTTAACCTAAGTATTTAAGAAAGAATATTTATGTATAAAACACATTCAAAATCTTAAGAGTTTTAATTGTTAATACCTTATTAGCAATTGGACCTTGGGCAAGGTAAGGTTTTTCATTACGTAAATGATGAAAACCATAAGCTACTTGGGCATCCATTCCTGTAAAATGAAAAAAAAAAACTATAATTATGTCAACAAAAACAAGTTAAAGATTCATAAATCAATAAAGAAGCCAAGAATTCAAAAGAATGGTAAACATTTTGACATTTTTGTTTATAAAAATAATTTTCATCTATTACTCACCAAATTAATTTTTATGAATAGTTATTAGTACATTCATTTGGATAAAGTTCTTTGCATAAAAGAATATGAAATTGATGTTTAAAAATATGTCATTTGTTCATCTATACTATGTTTATTGATGTTTAAAAATATGTCATTTGTTCATCTATACTATGTTTTTGTATCGTATTGCCTTACTGCATTGTAGAAAAATGTACTTTAGTGGTAGAATATTTAGGTGCAAAGTCATTTACCTAAATATAATTTATCTTTATTAGAATTCAATTAGTAAAAATTATATATTAGGGATAGACTTGCTAGTACAAATATTTCTCTCTACAAAATCATTCATATAACACAATCACAAAGATAAATCAAGTGTGATTTAAAGGGCTTTTTCCTTTATGCTTATATATATATATATATATATATATATATATGCATGTTATATTTAGATAGGATCTTATAATTTTTATTACTATCTCCAGTCTCACTACCATATTGTAAACTCATTCTTATGACCTAATTACAAATACCACTTTTAGTTTTTCTCTTATCTTTCTCCAAATTCTAAAAGAACCACATCGCTCTATTTTTATACCTAAGGTTTTATATGCAAATAAAGAAGGGAGTGAAAACAAATGCATTAATAAGAACTAGGGATCAAAGTGGATGTGGTATAATCATGGCACAAGGTAAGTATATAAGGAATAAGGAAGGATGAGAACAAAACATGAAAAATGACTAAGAAATAACTATTGGTGAAGATGAACTACCATCAAACCAAAAGAGAATGATAATCCATTGGGGACATCCTTTTCGATATACAATGGTCACACTGATATTTGGACCTAGTGGTTCATGGGAGACATATATAGTAAAATCAATTTTCATTTTAAGAATGCAAAAATTAAAAACTTGAAACTATGAGATTATACAAGATGATGAAACCTATGAAAGGCTACACTCGAAAGAGCTTAAGGAGAATTAATAGATCAGGCATATTTAGTATTTGGGATTTTGTGAGCCATGCAATTTGTTGCGCTTTGGAATTTTTCATTCAATTTTGTATTTTAGGCTATTGTTTGAACCTTTATATGTGTAATTTTTTATACTATTATGCTTGCTGGAGCTTATTGTTCCTGGTTGGAGGAGATTTATTCTAGTTATTTAGTTAGTCACTTTAGTATGGGCTATAATGGATTTTATAAATAGGTCAAATGCTAATATTTTCAGCAATCTTGAATCATTTTGGAATGCAACTTTCAACTTTATGAAAGAAATTTCTTTTTAGATTCTTAAGAACTAATTTTGATTCTTATTCTTGAATTTCCTAATTCAAAGAAAAAAAATCTTGCTCAACTTATAAATCTTTAGGGTTGCGGCATTGTTCTTATATTTCTTACCTTAATCCATTTTTCCTTTTTAATTCTTGTATTTTCCTAAAACATTCCTAAAAGATATTCCTTTGTGAGATCCTTGAATTTTGATTTGTATGGAGCTCATATCATTTCGTATTTAGATCCAATTTCAACATCAAATTTGTGTCTTGATGTTGTTCACTTGATTCATAATTATTGTGCCTAAATTTTTATTTGGGTCTATGTTCTTGATTTTTCCTATTCTGAATCTAAATTGTACATCTTGATTTAGTGTTTTTAATTGGTGCCTCAATTAAGATCAAGTGGTGCGGATTGTAGTTCTACGTGCAAATCCATTTTGGGAATTAAGTTTTGTCGACTATAATCAAAAGAGTTTGAGTTGCTCATTACCATGTCTTTCCTAGTCATGTGTTTCCTGTCTTATCTACTTTGACATTCTACTTTGAGTTACCTTTCTTTTTTTTTTAGTTTTTATTACTTGTCTTTAAAATTGCTCGATTTTTTCTTTGAATTTTCTCCTTATTAGCTTTTAGAGTTGAACTAAGATTTGTTACGTCTTTCATTTTGAATACAAATTCAATTTTTGATAGAAAATACTTTTTAAGAGCTAAAGAGGAGTTTGAGTGGAAAATGATAAGAGTGGACATTATAGAAAAAAGTCTCAAAAGTGAAAAAAAAATGATTGAATCTTGAGTCTAAACACTTAGAAAGTGTTGAGGTCCAAATAAATTTTGGTTATTTACACTAGCCTTTTTGCACAAAAATGTATTTTTCCATTTTATTATGTAAGTGAGAGAGGTTATTGGAAAGGTGAAGGAAAGTGGACATAGAAGAGGGAAACATGGAGGAAATAGGGAGGGAAAAAATATCAAAGAGAATAAAATTGTGGGAGTGAAGCTTAAAATACCAAATTTGAAAAGGAAAAGTGATTCTGAGGAAGAATTGGAGTGGGAAATACATGTTAGTCAAATTTTCTTATCTCAAAACTACTTTGAAGGTAAATAGTTGAAACTTGTAGCTCTTGAATTAATTGATTACGCTCTTGTTTGTTGAGGTCAAAAGTGGAAGGAGAAAGTTAGATATAGAGAATCGTTGATGGACAATTGGGAGGAGATGAAAAGAATTATAAGGAGACAATATGTTCATCCTATTATCATAGAGATTCACAACAAGTTGCAGCATCTTTCTCAAGGATCAAAGATAGTAGATAAGTTCCATAAAGAAATGGAGAGTCATGATTAAAGCCAACAAAATGGAGAGATAACTTGACATGAAGCATTCATGCAAAATGACCTATCACCATGATTCCTCCAGTGATAAGGACAAATGCAAGAAGGAAGGATATCCCTTAACTAAGCAACAAGGTTCAAAGTCTCCAATTGGTAAACAAGTTCCTAACCTTAAAGTTCCTTCTATGTCTAGTAGTCATTCAATTAAATGTTTTAAATGCTTAGGTAACTACCATATTGCATTACATTGTTCCAATAAGAAAACCATGGCCATGATGGACAATGGAGTTGTCACCAGTTATGTTTAACTAGCTCATCTAATACCTCTAGTGATATTAAAATGGATAATAAGATTTCTTTTGTACATGAAAGTCATCGGATAAAACAACGTCTATTTTCACATGAGGAAACAATTAAGGATAAAAAAAAAGTTGATAATGAAAATAAAATATTAGAGAAAAGTGTTGAAATAAAATAAGATAAAAGAGAAAATTGTGATAAAAAAAATTGAGAAAAGGAGTTGGAAGAAGAATGAAGTGCAAAAAAAAAAAAAGATGAAGGTAAAGAAAATTATGAATTTTCTTGTGATCATTTTAACTATTGTGCAAATAGGGGGCTTTTACACACACATGTTTCCACATTAGTAAGATATTGTCCACTTTGAGCCTAAATCCTTATGGTGTTGCTTTGGGTCATCACCCAAAAAGCCTTTTACAAATAGACTATCTATCTATTTATAAACACATGTCAATCCTTGTTTTGAACAATGTATGACTTTGATTGTTCCCAACACTAACCTTTCATTTGATTATGTTAACTTTTTTGTGAAGGAATTTGAATGAGAGTTTCTTAAGAGGGAATTTCAAGCTTGACATTTTAATTATGTGATTAAATGTGATCAAATTGGAGATGAGCTCTTAAAGGAAGAATGCACAACTCTAATTCCTTCTTCTAAATTAAATTAAAAAATTTATTTTTGAATTCAATTGTGAATCTAACTATGGAACTTCATTTGTTTTGACGTCTAAGACATAATTGAATATCAAGGATCGATGGGAAAAACAGTTTCAAGAAGTGGAAACACATCAGGACCAATGCAACCATAGAGAGAAGAAAATTTTGGGTTATACCATCTTTAAAGCTTTTGATTTAATTGATGTGTATCATATGTTAATCCAAAATGCTTGTGAATTTCACATCCCTTTGGGTTTGAATTATATTGTTTTGGGTGATGGTGTCAAGTCCTTGAGATTTGAGATTAGTGAACATCATTTAGACTTGTATAATCATTATGAGACATTTTCCATGTGTTGTTACTTTTTCAAAAAGTGAGCATGATGAATTCTTTAACAAGGGAAATTGTGTGAAAATATGTCATTTTAGGTGCCTAAATTTGCACTGCATGATTTGTTAATTAGAAGAATACATGGTGAAAGTTTAATTAGTCATGGACATTTATGTGAGAATCACCTAAGGCATTATATGCTAAAATTTAGTGATAGAAAGAATGGACATAAAAAGGATAAATTTAAATTTTTAGTTCATAGTTTTGTATACTTGATTTTGATTCTCACTAGATTGATTTATGCTAAAGTACCCAAGATCCAAGAGAGGGGAGCATTTTCATTTAATATTATTTGGTGGTTTCCTTCTGCTTGTATTTGATATGAAAAGATGGATATGCAAGCACATAAATAAAAAGAGGCTTTTTTTCCTTCCAAGGAATTCTAGTCTCATTAGATGTAGGACTTTCTTAATGTTATTTCTACTAAATTTTGATGCATTCTCTTTTATTGAAACACGTAATAAAGTGTCAAATTCAAGGATGCATTTCACACAAGAAGAAGAGAATAGTGGAGTCTATCAAAGGCTGAACTTGGAAAAGTTTGAGGAGAATTAATAGATATATATTGTATTTGGAATTTTATTAGCCATGCCATTTGTTTGGCTTTGGAATTTTTTAAAATTTTTGTTCTTTAGGCCTTTGTTCGATCTTTTTTTATGTATGTATATATTTTTACTAGTATACTTGTTGGACCTTATTAGGCTTGGTTAGAATAGATTTATTCTTTTTATTTACTAGGACCTTTAGTATAGGAAACAATGGATTTTAGGTCTTGTATAACTAGTCCAAATGCTAATATTATAAATAGTTTTAACTCATTTTGAAATAAAGGTTTAAGTTTTCTAACAGAAATATCTCTCTATGTTCTTAAGAATTACTTTTGATTTTTATCCTTAAATTTTCAAATACAAAACAAAAAAG